CAGCATCTGCTGGAAGTGATTCGGATTGAAGGCCTCCTGCGGTATGGAAAAGGCGCCCAACAGGTAGGAGTTGTCATCAGCGCCGGCACCGACACCACCGGCGCCCCCATTGCGACCCATCGGCGGTGCGCCGCGACGTCTGTGTGGGTGTCGTGGACTCGACTGAGAGCTGGAGGGCGCGGATCCCGAGCCGCTCCGGGATGTGTTGCCGCCGCCCACACCGGGAGGCGCTCTCCTCACCAGATGAACCACTTTTCCGTCGTTTATCTCTGTGTGCGAGACATACAGACATACAGTGATGACACCGACTGATCGGATCAGCCCATTGGTGACCACAACACCACACATACCGTAGTCTTTGAGGAGTTTCTCGTCGTCGAGGACTCGGCCGCAGAAGATGAGTCTCTGGAGATCGGCCGCCATATCCACCTTCTCGGCGATCAACCGCTTGAACTCCTTCACCGATATCTGTGGGAAGCAATGGAGTCAGTCATCCGTGTCTTAACAGATCACACGATGGCATACATTGTCGTCGACGTCGAAGTCATAGTTATTTGAGTCCAAAGTTTTCACTTTGATTTGAATCATTGCTATCAACGGGTGATGCGATACCAGACACTAATTGATCGTTGATTTGAGCGACAAATGAGTGGTAAATCACATGAAGACTACAAACTATAATACAAACAAAACGAGTGATTAGTTTACAAATGGTTTACAAATCAATGTATGCATCGAAACAACACTTGTTTTTAAATGTCTGACAATAACTGCATTCCCATTGCGTTCAGTGCAGTGCCTATGGGTTTGAGTCAATACTATATCATACAGACCACCAGCGACAGCACCGGCACATACCAGTGCCCATGCAAAGCATTTTTCGTATATTCCCATAGTTAACTGATAAAAACTTACCTGGACTAGTTTTGCCAATTTACAGATACATTTATTTGTACTGTTTGTACTGTACATATAAATGTGCTATATGCCACTGTACATTTAGTTTTTAGTTTTTTTTATATAATAAATGACCTAAATAACATTTTATCCCATAATCCAATTACCTTGGTCAACTGTTATCATAATTCAATATACAATTCGATGTAATAAATATAATTTTATTATTTATTTATTTTCGTACTTATTATGATTATTAATATTGGTATAAATTTTATTACACGGGGCATTTATCTTAATAATCCAATATATTATTAATAATTTATTATCTAATGAATTGTTTTTCAAAATAAACTGTTTTTATAGTATACTAGTAATACTCAAGCGACTATTTATAAACTTTTATTTTTTATTCAGATATTTATTCACTTAAATTTCAAGTTAAGAAAGTAATTGACTAAAAAACGCGAGCCATTAATCAAAACTAGTCTATAATTAGCTTTTAATCGGAGTTTTTTGCGATCAAATATTTTACACTTAACGTTTTAAAAAAGTGTTTTTAATCTACTATTTAAACACAAATTTTTTGCTTATTTTTATCGCAAGTTGTATCGAAAACTTAGAGAATTTGTGAACAATTTTTTTCTCATATATGGTACAGGAATTTGTCTAATAATATGAACAGAATCTTATAACTACTGTACAGTATAGCCAACAGTAGACAAACCTAACGTCATATTCAATATTAATAGCAAAATATCTGTAAAACACATTTTTGTCGTGAGATTTCACAGCGTTTTTGATCAGTTTTGAAGGCCTGACCTCCACTTTCACCCGTAATTACAACGACTGGACTTCGCAACAGATTTTTTTATTTCATTTACTGTAAGTCGAGTGCTTTATACTTATTGCCACAAAATACTCAATTTATTTCTCACTTCTCTCCACTAATTTATAGCCTTTCATAGCCCGACCCCAAGAATTTGACATTTGTCTCACCAATAAAATGCCATTCCTTTTGTACTTTTTTATATTAAGAAACACAATAAAATTTATTTGTTCACTCAATTATTGAGTTAAAAATAGTTTTTACGCCAAAAATTCAATGCATTTTAAAGGATAGTGACATAAAAATAGAAATAATTCATAAATTTCTTATATATATATTTCGTATATTTATTATAAATAGCGTACGATTGCTAGTAAATAGTGAGTCCTAAAAATAAACGCATTGTATTTATAGATAAGTCTTTAGATATCGCACCAAAAGAAATACAAGTGATTAGGAGATTGGATGAGAGTGTGAGTGAGTGAGTGAGAGAGAAAGAGAGAGAGAGAGAGAGAGCGAGCGAGAGAGAGAGAGAGAGAGGTCATCGAAATTGTCAGCTCAAGAGGTGCGAGTGTATGGAGAGTGTTGTTGTCGCCCAAGAAATCGGTGGTTCACTGGAACCGGTGAACCGACGCTCCGAAAAGATTTACATCACTTCATGAGAGCTGTTGGACAGTGAAGACGACAGGGCTTTCCATTCACTCATTCATCGGATTCATTGAGGAATAGCAAGAAAGGGAGAGAATGAGAGGATGGAGTGAATGAATGAAATGGATTTTTGGGTCTTATATTAAAAAGCGATGGAATGGAAAATACGAAATAAATTTCATCGGAAAAAAAGTAATACTTCGGTTAAATGGTTTACCGCTCTATTGGCGCTATACATGTATTCAACGAAATTGCATCCATGAGAGAGACGAGAGAGAGAGAGAGAGAGAGAGAGAGAGACGACTTGTGTGTGTGTTATCTAAATATGAAACACTTTTGAATAATGACATAACAGGACATTCATATCACACACCAGTACCGCGAATACCAATGAATTGCCATAAAATATACATTTATTCATCTGTTTTCTACACAAACACTACAACAAACTTTTGGCGATTCTTTGAATTTCTTATGAAGTTTTCTAAAAATAGTTTTATTTATTTGCAACTCAAAGGTCAGTACATTATTGAAATGTTTTTCAATAAAATTTTAATAAATAAACTTTTAAAAATTTCCAGAATTTCAATTATAGATAATTTATTCACTGTGAATATAATAATAATTAAAAAATAAATTTGCATTTTATGAACTTTAAAATGGTAAATAACTCATAAAATAAATAATTAAAACTTGTAATATAAATAATTAAATACCGCACACAATATACCCCTGATTAATATTGTGTAATATGTATAAATAGCTACTAATTATATCTATTAGCGTAATTCAAGTTTAAATAGCAACAATTTAATTATAATAAATTATTTTTAAAACTAATGTTATTTAAGAGTTTAGTCAAACGTGTGCTTACGAAATGACCCACAAATACAGTATAAGCACTCATTATATAAATGATTGTGATTTCATGTAATCATAATCTGTTTGCTCACAAGATGTGAGCCATTCGTGTGACTAAAAGAGAGATATCGGAGCTCTCGATACGAGTGTGCACTCAGAATACGATTCCTGGTTTAGATGTATCCAAAAATACATCCTTTTATTATACCAATCATTGATATCAATGGACATGTAATTCAATGGTATTATTATTTTATGAAAAAAGTAACAAAATCATCATAAGAGAGAGAGAGAGAGAGAGGGCTAATAAAAATGCTTTTTATGAAACTTATAACACTTATAATATTAAGCATCAGTTTTCTATAAGCTTTTGTAACAAAAAAGTGGAAAATGTATTGACTTTATGAATGGCTGGGAAAGTGCGGTCAAACTTCTAGCCCTCTAATAGTGAGATATAATTTGTTTGAATACTTATATAACAAATCTGTTGTCATTGAGTGTGTATTTTTGGGATAATATTAGAAAACAATGGATTTGATACCAAAATGACTTTTTTGTCGGTCAAATGATATACGATATGCTGACTACGGTATGGCATGCCTTCATATGTCGTACTCCCACACAATTGGTCTGTGACTTATAGTAGAAAATATATAATTTTTATTTCTCAGAACTCATTTAAATATACATTTCCATAACATGTGTGCAAATAAATTGAATTTTAAACATTCACTACAAATTTGAGATAAAGGAGAGAGAGAGAGAGAGAGAGAGAGATTTTAATAAAATATGTTATGAAAGCCCCAAAAGCAATGACTGAAATAAGTTATAGCAATTGATAGCAAAATAGCAAATAGTGTTGACTCGAATTGATTAATCAACTGAATAGAGAAATCTCTCTCTCTCTCTCTCTCTCTCTCTCTCTCTCTGGTAAAAAGCATTCACTGTTTAAAGGAAACACTGGAGAGTCCGTAAAGTTATGTAACAACAGCTGCACAGTATGTAAGTCACAGACCAATTGTGTGGGAGTACGACATATGAAGGCATGCCATACCGTAGTCAGCATATCGTATATCATTTGACCGACAAAAAAGTCATTTTGGTATCAAATCCATTGTTTTCTAATATTAGCCAAAAATACACACTCAATGACAACAGATTTGTTATATAAGTATTCAAACAAATTATATCTCACTATTAGAGGGCTAGAAGTTTGACCGCACTTTCCCAGCCATTCATAAAGTCAATACATTTTCCCCTTTTTTGCTACAAAAGCTTATAGAAAACTGATGCTTAATATTATAAATGTTATAAGTTTCATAAAAAGCATTTTTATTAGCCCTCTCTCTCTCTCTCTCCCTCTCTCTCTCTCTCTCTCTCACCCACTCACTCACTCACATTTATCGTAAGATTAATTCCGTTACAATAAACCGTTTGATTAAAATATTATGTATTTTTCTCGCGTCTAACAGTGCATCTCATAAGCAAACCCTTATCTACTATTCCAATACACCTTCAGATTTGTGTGAAGCAAATGTTTGATTACTTTTGTCGACACATACACTCAGACTTATATTAATATTTAAATATAATTTATAAAAATGCATATTTTTTAATAACAAAATACACACACACCAATGTTGGCGTACAGAATGTAATACAATTCCTGTTACCGGTAATCGTAATATCCTAAGAATATTCTTAATCGTAATGACATAACTTTCGTCTCAAAAGTAGAAAATATATAATTTTTATTTCTCAGAACTCATTTAAATATACATTTCCATAACATGTGTGCAAATAAATTGAATTTTAAACATTCACTACAAATTTGAGATAAAGGAGAGAGAGAGAGAGAGTCTTTCGTTTTTCTTATATAATATATATTATGTTTTGTTTGTCTGTCATTCCTATCACTCTCTTGTCGTCCTTATTATCAAAATGTAATTCAAATTTAAATCTCATTTCTCGTCGTTTGTTTTGTCGTTTAAATTAGTTTATGTTTACAATTGATTTAAACCCATAGAAAAACTTTGTTTGCAAATCAAATTGAAAAAAATGTAATTAAAGTCTAGTTCACAGGGAATCCACAATTGTGTTGATTTCAATATATTTTCGTGGAATTCATTCATTCAATTTAAAGCATAATAAACATGTAATAAATATATTTCAACAGTTATATCATGTAATTTTGATATAAAATATCGGCTTTAAAAAATATAATACCTAAAAAAATATACATACGCAATTATTTATGATTAAGTTATAAAATTACAAACAATTTTTATGTACTGTATATATTTTATGTGTTTCAACAAGCTATTACTTTTCTATTTATACACCATAAAGTATACAATATTTTATTTAATGACAGCATAAACATACAACATATTGATATATTAATGCCATTTAATAGATTTAATAGACTTTGAGTACTATTCCTAGATAAATGTGAAACAAAAGCTTACATTTTTGTGCTATATTTAAATATACAGTCATTTATAAAATAATTTTTCTGTAT